AGAGTAAATTCTCTATATTTTATAAGCAGAATTCCCTTCTCCCTTTCACCGTCCAACTTCCACTCTATAAAGTCCTCGTAAAAATAATATTTCCAAGTAGAGTCAACGGAATTCAGAGGACACACAAAGGACCTGAACTGATCTGGGCCAAGCTGGGGCCAAATGACTGCCAAGAGTGAGAGGGGACGCAAGAGGTAAAACAGGTAACACAGGTAACTGGGAGAAGGTAACAAACGGCAAACAGTTTCAACTTCTGGCCATAGTTGGTAATGAGTGAACACAACTCCCCGTGACATGGCACAACATGAACCCCCAAACCCCAACCCCATCCGCATCCGCATTCGCATTCCTGTTCACAGCCACCACATCCCCCGTGTGGAATCATCAAATGTGGCAGCCACCAGCAGCTCCTCCTGCTTCGCCTTTTTCTCCTTCTCATTAACCACTGGCCGTTCGACTGCAACTCATATACACTCACCTACAGAGAGAAAGATGCCTGGCAAATATATATTTCCAAAGATGATTATTTCACACATAATTTTTTTAAATTAAATTTTAAATTAAATTGTTTCTTTTCATCTAAGAAATGCCAATCTTTCAGTGGGAAAAATACAAACACAATGGCTTGGTTCCCTCACCGACTTAGGCCTTGGCTTTGGCAAATCTCTGTCTTGTTGTGGGTGAGCCCACAGAAGGAGACGACACAATCGCCATTGTTGACCTTGAATCTTTTTGATTTTTCTGCTCAGTGTGCCATCACACACACACACACACACACACTGAGAGAGAGACAGGTCCTTTGGGTGGCTGTGCAGTTCACCTGTCAGGTAGCATAATGTGCACAATGTACACGAGTATTTCGCATTTCACCAGTGTGTGTGTGTGTGTGTGTTGTGTGTTGTTCCCGGACACACTCACTCTTTCTCCGCACTCTTTTCAACCCCATAAGGCCGTCTCTTTTCAATGCTTCGTCCCTTTTTTAAGGCCGTCTCTTTCTACTGCTGGTTTTTGGCCGTGCTCCATCGAGTATTCAACTCGCATCGCTCGCAAAGTGACATGGCATATTTCAAGGTAAACATTCTGAATTTTGCATATCAAACGCGAGGCAGAGCAAACAGCAAACAGCACAAAAGCGGGAAGGGAGGCGGGGGGGTCAGAGTAGGGTGGCAAAGGAAGAGTACTAATACACACACACACACACACACACACAGTTGGGTTTTCCACGAATTGCTTTGCAGTTGAATGAGCTGAGTGCTCCCCCCTAAGCCATGTGCAATGTGAAACGGTCTGTGGACCGCACACCACCCACTACTATCAACCACCCCCTGCAATCAGCTGCCGTCTTCCCCTCTTCGCCCCCCCTGCCGAGTCGTAGCAACCCCCCACTAATGGCCACCGCAAGTTCTAATTGTATAATTAATGAACGGCAGCCCCTCTGCCCGCACTGCAGATAGTTTTCCCAAAAACGAAACAAAAAAAAAAAGAGAAATAATATTCGAAACCGCTTACAACCGGCAAAAGCTGCTGCAATCCCGTTCATAGGTATTCCATTTCCATTTCCATATCCCCCAGACCCCGAATCTCTTGCCAGGCAGTAGGACGAGTTATTATACCCTGCTTTTTCACAACAACAAAAATAAAACCCAGTTCGATTGGAAGGTTAACTTTAAATTAATTAAAAAATTCGTTTTTTCATATTGGTATATATTAAAATGTTATTTTGAGAATATTTATATTAAAAACACTATTTAATTTAATAAATAAATTATACAGGAAAATGCTTATATTCAAATGTTGCTTGCCTATTTAAGTGTTGCTATGAAAATATTTCCTTTCAAATGTTTATATTCAAATGTTGCCAAATACTGCCAGGATAATTTTGCGATTTAAATATTACCCAGAAACTATATCTATATTTAAATATTGTCATAAAAAATGTGCCTATTTAATGATGCCAAATAAATGTTCCCATTATTATATGTTGCCATGAAAATGTTTCGATAGAAAATGTTCCTATTGAATGTTCCTATGAATATGTTGCCATGCAAATGTACCGATTCAAATTGCCACGGACATGTTCCTATATAAATGTTGCTATGGAAAATGTTCCCCTTTAAATGTTGCCTAGCAAATCTATAAGTTCCTTATTAACTCCTGGACGTAGCACATGTCCACACATAAGCAAAAACTATTTGTACAATTACATTATTTCATTATGCAATTTGTACCTGGCACAAGGCATAAAACATAATGCGAATCCCTACAGAATTAATGCACAATGATTACCCTTTATCGATTCAAAGGGATTTCCGAGCAAATGTCAATATGTATGTGGCAGTCATTGTTTAATTACCAATTTATGGCCAGCTTTATATATCTATATATATATATATAAGCCACTTGGCCAGCTCTGGCTAATAATGGCATAACAATGTGCAAATAATTTAATAATTTCTCAATGTCCAGCAAAATTCTTTAGCTGAAAAATGTCAGGGGAAAATGGGGAAAATGATTTTACACACATCAGTGGAAAGCGACAGAGATTCAATTTTTATTTTCGTTGCATTTATCCAACCGAAATGTGGTAATTAATTGGGCAACCCGCTGATCGCCAAAAATTCCATCTCCATTTGGCCGTGTCCAGTGCAGTGGCAGGCTCTCTATTCCCTCTATCTCTGTCTGTCTTTATATATCCATCTCTTTCGATGCTCTTCTCTGCTGTCTGCCTGTCTCTGTTTACAATTGCCGCCCGCTAATTTATTTGAAAAGCCATTTGTTACCTTTGGCTTGCCTCTGTTTACACCGTCCGTCTGTCTGTCCGCCTTCCGTCCGTATTTCTGTCTGCATTCCGTCCGGATTCCGTCCATATATGTATGTTATATATATATATATGTGTTTCTTGTACAAACAGAGACCTCTTCTATGTGTGTGTTTTGGTTTTAGATCTGCAGGTTTCGCGCATTACATTTACATTTACAATTACAATTAGCTTTAATTCAATTTGCCAAAACAAAAAAAAAAGAAAAGCAAGGGAAAGCAAAAGGAAAAGCTCCTCCCTTGTCTTGGCCAAAAAATAATGGAAACAAGGAACAAGAAAAACCATTGAAAGTTCAGGGAAACTGGGAAACTGTTCGCTAATTGTTTATATACACACATATGTGCATAAAAATATGTGCCAGCGGGGGGCAAGGAGGTGGCAATGAGCTTTATAATCAATTCATTTAGCAAATACAACAGACAAGTAAATAATGAGAGAGACAAGGAGAGATACAGAAAGAGAGAGCGAGAGAGAGAGAGAGCTATTGAGATTTTATTGATGGAGATGTGTGCGTATCGGATACAGATCGAACAGCTGCCAAATGCCTCCAGTACTCGATAATCTTTATATACACCCAGAGAATATATACACATACTCGGCTATTTAGTTGAAAAATCGGAAAATTAGAAAATCGAAAAACTGGAAAATCGAACAACAACAACAACAACAAAAAGAACCAGGGGGGGAAATGAGAAAATCTGGGAAAAAGCGAACAACAAACATGCGGCATGTTCTCTCTTCGGTGTTTGTGTTTTGTTAAGCTTTAGTAAATACTTGAAAATTTAATGCCGTTTGGCCAATAATTAAGGAAAAAACATTTTCGAAAATCCCCCTCAAACCTCTCCTCCTCATTCTCTTTTGATAATTTTCTTTCGCGCATATTTCGTTATATTAATCATACGCACAGTTGGCACAAAGGAAAATCAAATTGAAATATGCAAATTTATTGAAAAATGTTTGCCTTTTTTAAAATTACACGAAAATATATTTACACAGCCGCAGTTTCATTTCAGCAGCCACAAAATACATATATATATATGTATAGTATGTATATAATGTAATCACAGGAAGTGACCAAGGGAAAAACCAGTTGGTAGAATGGAAGAACAAACATCAATGAACAATTAATGAGAGAAGACAAGTTGGGAAAGAAGTGAGAAAGAAATGGGAATGGCAAAGGAATGCAAAATCGAATTGTAAACAGTGTGTTCGAATCGAGCACAAAGCCAAAGAAAAACCATTAAGAAAGCATCAGGCAAACACAGAAGGCAAAAGAAAAACATTGAAGGGCAGAAAAAAAAAATGTAAAATCTCAGGGGGGGGGGAGATATTCTTCTTCTTTTTTTCAATAATTTCAAGCAGAGCTTCCTCTTTTGTGGAAAACTCTTTTAAATCTTTAACAAAAACTAATTATTTTATTTTGAAATTTATTTAATTTAAATAAAAAATTAAGTTTAAAATTAAAAAAAAGTGGAATTCCTCAAAATACATTGCGTATACGTAATATTCCAGAAAATTCCCATCAGGCCTTTGTAAAAATATTAAAATTTCTGAAACCACCACCAAAACCCAAGTCAGAATTTTAATTTTCCACGCATTAAGGTTTAAATTTCTTAAAACAAATAAAAACTTCGGAAATTTGTATCAAGAAACATCCACAAGAATTGCGTATACGTAATATTTCAGAAATGGGCCAACAATTAACAATTAAATTCCTTAAACTAAGACTGAAACCAAGCAAAGTATTTAGTTTTAACAGAACAAAAATATTTATATTGTTTTTAAATATTTAAATTGTTTTAAAAAATAAATTAAATCTGCGTATACGTAATATTTGATAAGTCTCCTCAAAACCTCTTTGAAACCATTTCAAATTCCTGAGTTCCCCACCAAAAACCTACTATAAAATTTAAATTTTCAAACGCAAATATCTTGAAACCTCTTAAAAACAACCAAAAATCTTCAGAAACTTGTCCCAAGAAGTGCGGCGAAACTGTTTCAACCACAAATCTGCTCAAAATCTAAATCACCTCTTGGGTGTGTGTGTGTGTGTGTTTACACCACAAATTTGAAAAGCTCTTGGCTCTTGGCGAAACTTCACAATCGAAAATAGCAGCGCCTGCAGCACACACTGCGTATGCGTAATGTTCGAAAATGTGTCCAGCTGAAGAAATTCACTCACCTTTTTATCGCTCCGAAGGCCTTCGTTGTTGTTTACCTTGGATTCTCCTTTTCCGCTTGTTCTGCCGTTGTTTTTGTTCTTGTTTTTTTGTTTTCTTTTCCAACTTTTCTTGCCGAATTTTCAAATTTTCAATACTTTTTTCTGCTGCTGCAGATAGATTTTCTTTCTTTTTTTTTGTATTCAGCTTTCAATGTTGTCTTTTATCTGGTGTCTCTGCCAAGTCACAACAATAACCGAAAAAAAACAACAAACATTAGGCTTCGATGGGGGTATGGGTTAAAGGCGTGTGTGTGTACTCTGTGTGTGTGTGTGGTTGTGCGAGATCGTCGTATATATAGAACTATATAGAATTTCAAAACAAAAGTTGCGCGCCCAGGAAATCCACGAGTCTCGATTTGCGATTGTTGTTGCCGTAATTCGCCCGACGGCGTTCGCTGCCAAAAAAAAAATGGAAAGAAAAATGCAAACACAAAACAGAAACTGTTTTCCAACTAAAAAATTGGGTAAAAAAACAGTTACGATGGAATTACATTACATTGCTGTAAAAAAATGCCAAAAACTTTGCACTCACTTTTGTTTATTTAACGCGAAAACTTGACACTTCAGTGGGGGGTTTAAAAAAAAAAAAAAAGGAAATTTATAAAAGAATATAAAAAAAATATTCAAAAAAAAAATCTTAATATTTAAACATAAAAAACAATTAATTTCTTAATATTTTTAAAATATATAAAATGGCTTAAAGTCTCACTGGAAAAGGTTTATTTATTCAAACTTGAATTGAAAAATGAATTTTTAAAGAACCATTGGTTAGGTTTTTCACGCTCAAAAAAAATATATCTTTAGGGTAATACTTTTATTTATAAAAATAAAATTACGTTTATTTATTTAGCACACACTGTTATATATTTATTTATTTACAGGGGAAACTTTTCAAAAAAAAGGCCTAAAAATATTACAAAACTGGAAATATTTCCAATTTTTCAATTTAAAAATTTTCCATAACTAAACTTTCAAAAAATATGTTTTCCAAATATTCTTTATTTATTTAATTGCCACGCACGAGTAATTAAAATCTTTTTAAAAATATTTATAAATATTTTTTAACAAACATAATTTTTTGTTGACTTTGGTATTTCGATCCGCTGACCGACCGACCGACTGACTGACTGACTGACTGACTGACAGTGTGCGTGTGTGTGTTTGCGTGTGTGTGGGATGTACGGTGTGTGTGCCGTGCCGCTCTGACTCCAAGAACTACAACAACGTAATGTTATCCGCTCGGAGGCTGAACGCCTACTGGATGTTTGGATGTTACACGCGCCGAAAGCTTCCGCAGAATGCCATCGCCAAAGCCAGAGCGTTGGTACGCAACACACGCGGCGGCGGCGGCAGCGTCGACAGAGCCTCGGCGTCAACGGTGGCAGCGACGCCGCCAACGTCTGTGGCAGCCGACGAGTGCCCCGAAGTCAGCTGGACTCGGCTCAGAAGCCGTTAGGTGGCGCCGAGCGAAGCCGAAGGGCAGCCGAGAAGGAACCGAAGGGTAATCATCATTCGCACTGCGCTTTTTGCTACCCTGGGTGGCACTATGGCAGGGTATTTGTTATTCGGTACAAAATTTAAAGTATTTTATAGGGGTTCAAAGCAGTAACTAAAGCTGCTCTAATATTTAGCATTATAATTTCAGATTTATTGACGGTTTAGGTTAATGGTAAAATGAAATAAAGAAAGAAAAATTGATTTATTTTCCCAGGAAATTAAAATTCAAAATAATTCATTAATAAATAATACAAATATCATAGACACAAATTTAAAATAAAATTATTCAATTGATTTATTGCTTAACAACTAAAATATCAAAAATGTATGAGAGATTCTGCTTTCATTTTTTATTTTTAAATCCTATTAAATAATTTAAGTTTTACATTCAAAATTAAATTGATTTTGAATTGAATTATAGAAAATAAACAATAACAACCCCATTTCCAGTGCCTCCGATCAACGATCGTCATTGGGTGCCCCAAAGGGTGTCGACTTCTTCGGATCCGCGGAAACTTTCGGCCACTCGCCGTTAATTGCATTTGCTGGCCAAGGAGATACTATATGAGGAGAGCGAGGCGGCGGGCGAGGAGGGGTAGAGCAGTGGAACGACGACGACTGGCAAAAGCGCAGCGCCTTCGTTGTGATCCATAAAACATATCTGCGTGAATAATTCAAGGCAAATATAACGCAGTCTACACGGGGGCAAACTCTACACTCGCACAGGAGCGACCACCCGCTCTACGCGCACTCCCGCCCTCCCGCAGGTGTGTGTGCTCGTTCTCTCCACGCGCCGACTCTCCGCTCCCTTCCAGTCGCACTTTCCCGGCACGAAACGAACGGCAAACGACTGGAAAATCGGCCTCGTGGGCGCTAACAAGTGGGGGAGCAACAGTTGAAATGAATGAAATGAAAACTTTCGATGCTCTTCGGCTCTCGACGTCGGCGGCGCAGCCGGAGAGACGTTAGCAGCGCTGCCAGCTTCATGTGTTGCTTCTCCAGCACCTGATGATAAGTGTTCGTGGAAGGGGCGGCAGTGGGTGGGAGTGGAGAGGGGGCCTGGGGGTGGGTGGTTGCTCGCTGTTGCTCTTCCAGTCGTCGGCACACTGTTGCTCCTGCCTGGACTTGTGTGTGTTTTTTTTTCATGTTGGTGGGTGGTTGGGTGCCCAGGGGGTGGCGGCTGGTGGCTTGAGAGTTCTGCTAAGCAGCAACTAATTTTTGTTAATCACACCTTAATGACACGAACTTGACACCATTCCATTGCCGATGCCTCGATTTCCATAAATTAGACGGCCAAATAGACAACGTGGCTGTGGTTAGAGCTGCACGGCCACAAAAATAATTAAGGGAAATGATTTATAAAGCAATAGTAAATATTGTTAAGGGGTTGGGGTATTAAATATGTTTATATTTTATTTTAAAAAATGTGAATATATTGGGAAAACGTTTTTAAGTTAATTTTTAAGTTCGGATTTATATTTCTAGTGTTTTAGGGTATCAGAATTTTAGTCAGAAGTTTAAAACTTAGTTAAGGAGTCATTTCCGACCCTATAAATCATATATATTCTTGATCAGCATCAACAGGCGAGTCTTTTTTAGCCTTGTTTGGCAGAAAAAAATAATTAATAATTTTTTTCAAAAAAAAATGTAAGGGGTTACATCGTTAAAATTGCTAAAAATCGACCAAAATTAAGAAGTTAAATTAACTATGCAAATTTGTTAAGCTAATAAAAATAAACATTACGCCGCTTTCCGAATTAAAATTAATACCTTTTTGAGGGAGTTATGATTTTTTTTTAGATTTTGATTTGTCCCAAAAAAGGTTTAAAATTTTAAATAATTTACCAAAACTTAAGTTTATTTGTAAACATTAAATTAAGTATGCAAATTTGTTAACCTAATAAAAATTAACATGAAAAAAAAATATTATTTTGTATTATAAAATCTGATTTTTTATATTAAAAAATATCATAACTCGGCCAAAAATGCCCTAATTTGCATTTGGAAAGCGGTGTTATGTTAGTTTTTATGAGGTTAATAAATCTGCATACTTAGTTGGAAAAATAAATTTCGGTCAATTTTTGCGAATTTTAATGATGTAACCCCTTATCAATTTCACAAAAATGGCTCAAAATTTGATTTCCTTCAAACATGGCTTAAACGGTTCGAATTTTAATGCTGATCAATAATATATATGGTTTATGGGGTCGGAAATGACTCCTTCACTTAAAAAAATATTATTATAAAATCTGATTTTTTATATTAATTTTTTTTTAATGCATTTTAGACTGAGTTTTTAAATTTCGATTTGTCCCAAAAAAATGATCATATTAAAATGTTTATATATAAAAAAATAAATAATAATAAATAAACCATCTTTATTTACTATTTTTCTTAATTTTTATTAATTGATTTAAGGACATTTCTGCGAGTGTGTGCTTGTCTGAGCGACACTTAATTACAATGTGCCAGCTTAAGGGTAACTACACAAACAACGCCAAATATAAAGTGCAGCCCGCAGCAAATGCAGCACTCACACACCTATAAACTCACACACACATCATAAACACACACTCATTCACGCATTGATTTTAATGAGTTGCCAGGCGACAAAGTGAACGAAATCGCTTTGCCCAGCTCCCGAAAATAAATCAAATTTTTATTAACCTTGCCTGACTTATAAGCGAACATTAAAGAGAAAATTCACAGGAAAATTGCCAGCAATTAATAGACATGTTTCAATTTAATAGTTTTGCGAGTACAAGTGTTTTTGTGATGTATATATTTAGCCATTTGCCCATGCCTTTTGGATACATAATTGTTTTTAAATAGAACCAAACGAAAATAGAGTATGTAAAGCAATTTTAGGAAGCCAATTATGTACATATGCACTATTTTTCTGTACAAAAGAGACATATTTTTAAGAATTTGACTTAAATAATAATTTTAAATATAGTTTTGGTTATAAAAAACAATAAAACACCATATAATCATTTATAAAGTTGATTAAAAAATTACTAAATAATATAAAACAATTATGATAAATAAAAAGAATTATTTTTTAATATTTTAAGAACCCATTTAATATTTATAAAAATATAATATCTAAATAAAATGTTTTTTTAATAACAAGTAAAATATATAAAATCTCCTGCTAAACCCTCGAGCCCTGTGCATTATTCAGCGCAAGATCGATACGATTTCTGGCCAATATGGACTACACACTACCTCTCTCGGATGAGATGCATCATCGTTACCATGCCCATTAGCACCAGAATCAGGTAATGGTCTTTCGGAGCACCCATCTCTCCCCCTGCCCCGCCGCCGGCATGCTCATCGTAGTAGTTGCCGTAAATGGCGAATGTCAGCAGCTGGCGGTGGGCTTGTCGCAGCTCCATCTCAATATGGGTGACGTTCGCGGACTCCTCCTGCGACCAGGAGAACTGTGAGGGCTGCAGGGCATAGAGATGACTGCGTGTCACAGTGCTGGGCATAATCAGGCGCCTCGGCTTGTGGACAAACTCCCCGCGGATGCTCAGATAAACGAACTCGACCTGGTCATCATCCCACCCTCCCACATCTGTATCTGCGACCAGGCCGCAGCTATCTACGCTGGAGTTGCCGCAGGCAAAGAGCCCGCAGAGCCGAATAGTGCTGTACTGCTCCTCTTCGTAGCGCCTCTCGCCCACCCAGACCCCCAGGCGGTAGGTGCCAGGAGCAGGACCAACCGGGGTCCATTGCGCCTCAAACTCGCAGCACAGGTCCGCCTGGCAAAGGCGCTTAACCACCGAACTGCTCGCCACCATGGGCAGCTCCCAGGTGGTGAATTCCTGCAGATCCGGCTGTTGCAGTAGCTTTAGGCTCATGGTTTTACCTTTCTCCGGAGACTGGGGTTCTTCATCCAAAGGTTTGGCACTTTCCTCCTCATCGGGATTTAGGGGCACTGAGGCCAGAAGCAACTTTCTTTCGCCCTCGACCTGATCCGTGACCATGAGACGTGCCAGGGCACCCTGCCGCGTCGCATAGATGCCGCTGCCACTCATCCCCGCCAGCGGAAGACTGGCTCCGGCGGCCAGAAGATTCACTCGATTGGCCCAAGCCCAGCCTTGCTGGAATTGAGAGGCTGAAGAAAGAAAAAGGGGTAAGATTAAGATGTAAACAAGGCTTCTTTCTGGGTTATTTCAGTCAAAGCTTTAAAGAATTAAAAAAAAAGATTGAAGATATATTCTGTAATTACAAAATTATAATTTTTAAATATTTATGAATTATTAAAATACTTCATTAAAAAGCCATTTAAAAACCTAACGACTTTGGCAATTAATAGTTGAAAGTTTAACGAGGTTTTGAAAGCTAAAAGGTCATTCTTAAGATTTTCCTAAATTTAAAAAGATCTTTTTAGCTTCACTCTCACCTGTCAGAAAGGGCAACTCCGAGTTGAACATCTTGGTGACAATCACATGACGTATGCCCAGCTGCTCCACCAGCTCCTGGGCCGGCTCATAGAAGAGCATATCAAAGCAGACAAAGTGGCCAAAGGTCACCCCAAAGTCCGTGCTGAAGGTGGCCAATTGGGGCAGCTCGGTTCTGTTGGTCGAGGGTTCCAAGTACAGATTCCACTTGCGGTAACGCGACACCACGGCTCCCCGGCGATCGAACACCACATTGGTGTTGTACACCAGATAGCCACGAGGCGAGTGCTCCTCCTTCGACTCCTCGGCCCGTTCCTTGACATTGATCACCAGGTAGAGGTGGGCTTCTTGGGCAGCACAGGCCAGTTGGCGCAGGAACGAAGCTATATACTCATCATCGCCGGGCTGCGCCTCGCACAAGCTCTGCTCTGTGGATTCCGGCACAGCCGTGAGCTGGAGCACTGAGTTCAGCGTGGCCTCCGGAAAGACTAGAATATCTGCTTGGCCGCTGGCCGAGGCTATGAGCTCCAGGTAGCCAGACAGATTGTCGGCCAGCAGCTGCTCCGAACTGCCGCCCATCAACAAAGGCCTAAACTCTGCCACTCCGGCGGTGTAAAAGTCGCCGGCAGAGGCCCCTGAGAGGCAGCCGAGGAGCCAGAGAACTCGAAACATGATGAAGTGCTTCAAGCAAAGGTGAATATTGGACTGAGGGAATCCAACAACCGGTTTACAGAGGCAGCTCTGTGTCTCAGCTGATTAGGTTTTTGTGTCTGGCCAGATTTCCTATCTAATCGGGGAATAATCTAAGTGGGAATTTGATTTTTAGCGGGTATAGTTTTCTACATAATTATATTAAGCCGACTTTTGGGCGAAAGAGGAAAATATATATATTTATAGCTTAATTATAAAGTCAAAATTAAGCTTAAAATTTAGAAAAACCCTTTTTTAAATCATTAAGAAAACACTTTTGGTTTTATTTACTTACTTATTTACTTTTGATATATCTTCTATCTTAAAATATCAAATGTATAAACACTCAATAACTTATCAATCTTATCAATAATGTCCAACATTAAGTGCTCTTTTCTGATAACAGAATTCCCAGATGATATTTGCCTTGGCTTTTCTGCACAGAACTAGAGAAGCGTTTTTAGAGTTCAAGATAAATTTGTAAACAATATAAAAGGGTGTGTGTATAGTTTTAAAGAAAAGTAAGATTTTATCTTCTAAAAAAACTAGATACATCCCTCATCTTGACCTAAGACCTAGCAGGATCAGTGGCATTAATGTTAGCCAAAGACCCAGACTCCTTAAGGAACTAGAGCCTCCTTTGTAGCCGCAGGCCAGCTGCTCCTGCTCAGTGCCCACGCCAAAAGTGCACTGATTGTCATAGTAATTACCATAAACAGCAAAGGTCAGCAGGTTGTCCAGCTCCTGGGTTTCCGCCAGAGAAAAGCTGACTTCATGATGGTAGCTAAGAAGAGGAAATTAAAAAATTAAGAAATCTCTGAGCTAAGTCACCACCCACCTTTCCTTGCTAGACTGCTCCTGCAACCACTCAAACTGGCTGGGCTCCAGTGGCATTAGGTTGTCCCTCAGGGTGTCTGGTATGAGTAAAAACTCCCTAGACTCTGGATAGGTGACCTTAATAACAAGCTGTGTGAAAATCACTGGAGACTGTGGGTACACTCCCTCCTCCGGCAGCAAACCACACTCCTCTATGGCCGGGCCCAAACAGGCAAAGAGTCCACAGTTTCTGATATAATTCGCATCCACATTTTGATCCTGACGCACTCCATCATAGACACCCACTCGGTAGCTGTAGAACTTGGCATTCACAGGACTCTCTCGTTCCCGCCAAGCCACTTCGTAGTTGCAGCAGAAGCTGCCCTGACAGATCTGGCCACTGCTGCTGCCATTAGTACCCACATCCAGCTGGAGCAACTGCGTCTGATAGATCTCCAAGGCATCGCGCATCATGTAGAAATTCGTGCTGGCTGCCGTTTGGCGAGATTCCTGCAAGGATCTTCTGCCACGACGAGTGATCTTGGGCACCTGAGCCACATAAATGGCTCGCTCACCATTGTCGTGCTTCATCACACTGGTCAGGGTGCCCTGGCGACCGTGGAAGATGCCCGTGCCAGTGCTGCCCACCGAAGGACGACTGGCGCCGGCGGCCAGGAGATTCACATTCTGGGCATAGGCCCAGCCCTGTTGGATTTGAACAGCTGGAAAAGGGAAGAGGATCAGTATTTCTATCCCTCTGATAGATTCCCCTCTCTCTCTCACCTGTGAGAAAAGGCAGCTGGGAGAACCACATGGTGGGATAGACAAAGTCCGTGATGCCCTGCTCCACGATGAGCTGATGGGCGGGCGTATAAAACAAAATGTCAAAACATATAAACTGGCCAAAGGTGACCCCAAAGTCCGTCTCAAAGGTGACCAGCTCTGGGCGATAGGTGAGGTTCTTGGACTCGGCATACAAATGCACTTTCCTGTACCGTGAAACCACCACACCCTGGCGATCAAAGACCACATTGGTATTGAAGATATTCAGGCCATTGGAGGCGCAGGGTCTGGGATCATCTGGTGTATCCTCGCACTTTTGCTTCTCGGTGAGATTAATCACAATATATTTGCTTGAATTGCGGGCTGCACACGACAGGGTGACCAGGAACTCCTCGTAGTGAGTGCCATTCAGGCAGGGGTTGATGCCATCCTCGGGACTGGGCACAAAGGTGGTGGAGCCCAAGGCATTCAGCGTGCTCTCCGGAAAGACAATGATGTCGGTGGCGCTGGCATTCGCCGAGTGTATGATCTCCACATAGGCCTCCAGGTTCTCCGACCAGGCATCCAGGCCCAAAATCGACTGGCGGAATTCCACCACGCCGGCGGTATAGTAATCCAAGTTGGCGGAGTAACCCACTGAGCACAGTAATCCCTGTATAATGCAGAGCAGGAGCAGCCGTTTCGAGTCCATGTTCGTTGTCGAGGGTCTCTTTTGGGGTAATGACTTCCACAGCCTCGAGCATCGCTGCTTTTATTGAATTTTTCTTCGGTTTATCTTATCTTCAGGGGAGTCTTATAGTTAAAACTTTAGTCTTGATTTGATTTGTATAGGTTTATTTTTATTTAACCAGAATTTTAGAGAACTTTATGAGTTGGTTTTCGAGTTTTTGCTTCAATTTCAAGTTTAAGTTTCATTGGAATCAATTATTTTATCTTGTTTCAATGTTCCACAAGTGATTTTTATTTGCCTTTCATAAATGTTTACCATCCATTTATACGATTGCTGATGCCAATGCCCCTAATTATTGACTTAATTTCTTGATTTGATTTTATTTTTTATCTTTATGGCCAAGGCAAGTTTCGTTTATCAGTAAAAAGAACAGATTTTGGGGCTGTTGCCAATCTAACATTTTGATAAAAAGCTTGGGTATATGGATTTTAAGGCCAAAATATTCTTAAAAATTAATTAAAAATTAAAGGAATTAAGCTGGTTAATTTTATAACATTTAATCCAAACTCAAAATATCAGAAGACCATCTATCTTACTTTCTATCAATATGTCTTTCGATCTATCTACCAATCTATCTATCTATCTCTCTATCTTTCTATCTTTCTATCTTTCTATCTCTCTATCTATCTATATCTAACTATCCTTAACTACTTATCCTAACTCCCTACCTTTTTAATATTCTTTTAAAAAATAATCCCAAAACGTTTAAATAAGAAACACCTATTACATTTAAATTTAAATCCAAAGGTAATGTACATCCTCCTCCTAGATTTCGCTTCCTCTAAGCCTCTTTGTACCTCCTTTATCGGCCATATCGTTTATGGCTTAGTGGGGCGTCAAGTGCCTGGATCAGGCCATATACACCCTGTCCATATTCATCACTTTGGGCCAATTCGAGGGCACAAACTGGCCCCCCTTAAGGAAGGTCTCAGACGGCACTTGACTGGGCTTGAGCCGACATCATTGGCCCACTTTGAGCATTATCGGGTTTATATACACAAAATGTACACCTTTTTTGGCTTATTTATTACTTCTTTTTTTCCTCAGCCAGATAATCCACAGCCCGAAAACGTGCAGCCATCTCTCGCGGCTTAATGCATTTCCATACGCTCCGCTGCAGACTCCGAAAAGCCCGACGAATGCAACATAAATTCAGGACCAAGAACAGCCATAACAAAGTCTACAACTCCAGTCGAAAACCCAACTCCTACCCTTCATCCAGCCCGACAATCCTTTCCGCTGCTGCCCGCCCACGTCCTTCGGCAAATTGATTTGCGGCAAGGAACGAGCGAAAATGTGAGCTTGGTGAGGGTGGGGATGTATGAGGCAGAAGAAAAATAAAATAAAATTAAAAAATAATGTTTGAAAATTTCTTGGTCATATATTTTAAATACGAAAATTTACCCAAGGGAGTCGAACCGTGCGCACACAAGCCTGTTACCTGTTACCTCTGTTACCTGCTCATTTTATGCGCAAAAAGAAACGAACGGTGAAACACGTTAAAAGCTAAGACGAGGTCCCAACAACAACAACAACAACAAAGGTAAGAGCATAAAGGGGGCAACGAAGAAAGCAGAGAAAGCACATAAAGGCAAAAAGGAAAATCTTATTTTAATAATGGGGACCAAACAGGATACTCTATGAAGGGAAATGTATGAAAAACTCCAAGAAAGGATATAAGAAGAGATTTAAAATCTCTTGAACTTAGATAAAAAGATTAAAAAAATAAATAGATAACCTAATAAAAACTCAAAAAATTATATTTACTAAAGTATTTATATTTTAAGAGATTATAAATCTCATAAATCTATTTTACGGGTTAGTAATGATTTTAAAATGTTTTTATTTTCAGACAGCAAATATATCATTGCATACTTTTAGACACCATTTAAGGGACTTTTAAACAACCTAGAAAAATTCTTTATAGTTATCATGAAATTTTGTGCGAGAAAAAATCATTTTAAATTTATTAAAATTTTGTTTTTTTTTTTTTAATTCATAAATAATTTAAAAAAAAATTATTAAATACATAATTTTTTATTTTAAAATTATTAAATAAATAATTTTTAATTTATTTAACATGTTTTTTGAATTAATAAATCATTTTCAATTTATTTAAAATTTTTTTTATATGAATAAATAATTTTAAATTTATTTAAAATTGTTCTTTTGCTAATACATTGTTCTTAAATATTTCCTATATATTTTTAGAATATTTTATTTATTGATAACACATTCTAAACCCTAGTTGCCACAAAAAGTGTACCCACCCTGGTAAAAAGTGAGATCAACCCCCTGAGAAGATGGTGGAATGGCGGCAGCTTCATTAAGTTTTTGGCCTGCCTCCCGGAGACATGCCCCACATATGCATATACACATTTGCTCTATGTGTGCATGTGTGTGTGTGTGTCCACACATATGAATTTCAGAGGGGGCTGTGAGAGGGTGTGTGTGTGTGCGGCATTCGTTGCTACTTATGTTTAAGCTTCGTATTTAAGCTTTTTGCACGATTTCCTCTAACAAATGGATTTTCACTTGTTGCCCAGCCAGACGAGCGAAGCTATCACAGACACAAACACACACGAAAAAATGGGTTTCTACACGGATAAAAAATAAATTGAATATAAATAATAATAATCTATATATAGAAATACTAAATATAAAAATATAGAAATAATAAAATATATTTTTAACAAGAAAGGAAGCTAACTTCGGCACGCCGAAGTTTGTATACCCTTGCAGATTGGTTTCGATGTTTATATTATAGATTTAAATTCTGAAAACACTCACCAAACAGAGTTTCATTACATTTTACCTATACTTATTATGTTTACAGTTTGAAAGTTACAGTTTTACATTCCCAGTTTTACATTTTCTCTACATCTACCGATCGGTTTATATGGCAGCTATATGATATAGTTGTCCGATTTTTATAAAATTTATACCATAATTCTAGAATAATAAAAAAAGCTTATATCTCAGAGTAGATAAACATACGTTGAAAAACAACGAAACTATAATTTTTTATCTATTTATTTCTCGACCGTTCCTATGGCAGCTATATCATATAGTCGACCGATTTTCATAAAATTTTTACCAAAATTCTGAAATAATAAAAAATGGCCATATCTAAAAAATGGTGCAAAAATGTTGAAAAACAACAAAGTTATAATTTTTTTTCTACAAATATATCGAACATTTGTATGGCAGCTATATGATATAGTCGTCCGATCCGGCCCGTTCCGACATATATAGCAGTGAGAGTATATAGAAGACCCTATGCAAAGTTTCATTCAGATAGCTTTAAAACTGAGGGACTAGTTTGCGTAGAAACAGACAGACGGACAGACGGACAGACGGACAGATGGACAGACGGACAGACGGACATGGCTAGATCGACTCGACTGTTGATGCTGATCAAGAATATATATACTTTATAGGGTCGGAAACGTCTCCTTCACTGCGTTGCAAACTTCTGACTGAAATTATAATACCCTGCAAGGGTATAAAAAGTAGAAAAAATGTTTGGGTTAAGTTTGAGAAAGTTTTGAAAAGGTTAACATTAAGAAAATAAATAATAATCAATTAAAAATAATATATAACCTTCTCAAAATATTATTTTCTCTTAGAATTAAATAGCAAAAATAAAGAAAATAAGTAATAATAAATTTAAAAATATATATACTCTTCTTAATTTATTATTTTCTTTTAAAATTAAACTGCACAAATTAAGAAAATAATTAATAATAAATTACAAATACATACTCTTCTTAATATATATTTTTTTAGAATTAAACTCTTTGCTGTTAGGAATATAATTATTAATCATTTAAAACTAACTACTTTTCTCTCTCAGTGCTTGCGTGTGTGCAATTTGTATGGCCTTGTTGTCAGGCTCGTTTTTTTAGATCTCCCCACGCACACACATACACACGGACATGGGCACACACGTGCGCTATCCTGGAGCTTCCTGGATGCCGGACGCTGGTCTCGTCTCCGGACTCCGGACTCTTTTAGCTCGTTTGCCTCGACTAACAAATAATTTAATTTCTTGGGTCGCCTTTTATACTTACTTCTTGCTCCATTTTCTAGTCTTTCCTTTTTGGCAGGATAATCGGGGGCACCAGGACTCCCTGCCTTTTATCGATGACTAGAACTGAATGCTCTCTCAATCATTGATTAGGCGAAGGGGCCACGAAATCAAACGAGTATGCCGCCATAATGGCCCGTTTTCCGGTGGGAGTTGGTCTTAGTGCGTACACACTTTATGGGGCCAGATTTTTGTCTGCTTGATTAATTGCAATTTTGTCCTGGCAATTTGTTAGCCAGGCAGACACACACACGCACACACACATGTGTGTGTGTGTTGTGTGTGCGTATGCAAACTAAAAAGTATTATTAATGATGTTTTTTGGGAGGGTGGCTTTGCCTGCATTTGACATCACTCATGCGCCGCGTTGTCTGAGATTTATGCCCCCAGCCGAAGGGTGTGAAGTGGGTCACTCACTGGAGTGACTCCACTCTTGGACTGATTAATAACAAACGCTTAAATCCGGGAACCACAAAAACGAGTGACGAATTATTAAACTCACTAAGCACACAGGCACACACTGAATTTTCGGTAAAATGAACTGTATCTACACAAGACACTGGGAGTGTGTGGAGTTTGGTGTGTGTGGAAATGTGAAAAAGCTGTGTTTACATGTGTGTGCGATTAGCCGAGGATTTCCTTGGACAATTGCTTGTTTGTTAGCCTCCTCCTTTAGCTCATCGGATTAACCAAGAGCGATAAAGATGGGACTTTTGGCTAGGCATATATTAGGGACAGAACATGTGTAGCATCTTCGTAGTAGAGTATTAAGAAACTTTTTGGGAAATAAATTATCTTAAAATATTGTTTAGGAAAAGAAATATTTATGTTATTTTTCTGAACAATATTTTAAGATAATTTATAATATTTATGCTT